TCTATTGGTTTCAGCAAACAGCTACCCAGTGGGCCCTGATCATCACCTTTGTTTCCCTACAATGCAGTGCCCTGGAACTCCCGTCATTCTGCGGTGTTCAGCAGCCATTTTTGCTTACCCACAACTACATGAAAATGTTTTCTTTGGAGAAATTTGCATTAAATCGCCGACAAATTTTGTTGAGGATAAAAATAAATAAATCAGACATTTCTGCAGAAAGCACTGAATTTTAGATCTGAACAATGAACAATGGAGAGAAAGTGAATTAACAGATTCCTCTATCCCTAATGATGGGACATGCCCACCACATGTGGAAGTAAGAACCATAATCCACACATCCCACGTGGGAACCTGCAGTATACACCATAATTCCAGAGTTGTGACTTGCCAACTGTTCGGAGCATTTTCTCTCACGTTAGCCATGATTTTTGAAGCCCATATTCCATCCCAATTTCACACCCCAGTGAAATTCACCACACTTCTGTGTGTGCCCTTTACCATCTTTTTTAACCTGTATCTTATACAGAGACTAACCCTTTAATGGGTATCCATAGGATTTTTTAATGTTGGGGGGGGGAGAGCAGGCAAATTTAAACACTGAAAGGGGGACCACGCTAGAATCCCACAAACACAGCATGAAAACACAGCATGGACTCTATTTGAGTCCCTAAAGTTGGGAGAGACTCAAAGGGCCATGTAGCCCGACCCTCTGCCATTTTGCTGTATATCTCAGGCTCTACAAATGCTAGAAAACTAGTAGTACAAATGCTACTCTCTTTTTTTAAAAAGGAAGAAACTAAGAAAGGTGGGGAACTTGCAACTGTGATTCACTCAGGAGGACAACTGCCTCCATCACCCACCCACCCATTAATCCTTTAATGGTCTGGCAGGAAATATTTACTAAATGATCAAAAGGTGTTAAGATCCCTTGGCAGTGGAAAGTAAAGGTAAAGGGACCCCTGACCATTAGGTCCAGTCGTGGCCGACTCTGGGGTTGCGGCGCTCATCTCGCTTTATTGGCCGAGGGAGCCGGCGTACAGCTTTTGGGTCATGTGGCCAGCATGACTAAGACGCTTCTGGCAAACCAGAGCAGCGCACAGAAACACCATTTACCTTCCCGCTGGAGCGGTACCTATTTATCTACCTATTTATTGAACTGCTAGGTTGGCAGGAGCAGGGACTGAGCAACGGGAGCTCAGCCCGTTGCGGGGATTCGAACCTCCGACCTTCTGATCGGCAAGTCCTAGGCTCTGTGGTTTAACCCACAGCGCCACCCGCGTCCCAGTGGAAAGTAAGCCAAGATTTAATTTGAACCAAGACCTTCCCAAATTAAGCAGCTCATCTTGGGGTTCCTCACCTGTCACAGGGAATGTCTCTCACCCCCCCCCCCAGGGAAATCCTGGAGTCTGTACATTTCTCCCACCTCTCCTTCCTTCAAGCCGAAGCCTGTCCTGGAAATCTGAAATCCCTGGTGCGTCGTAATCAGAATTATAGGCGACAAAAGCTGGGGAGAGCATTCTGTTCCGATGGCTTCAGAAAACAAGTTGTTCAATGTTGTTAAGGTTTCTAGGCTTCAGAAGTAACACGGGACTGCCTGCTGAACACAGTTGCATACGTTTTGCCCATTCCGTAATTGCCAGAAATAGCAATCAATCAAAGTGGGGACGTGTCAAAAGTTTAGCTTCGGTCCCACCCACCACCACTGTGGGCTCCTTCTGCATTAGGAACGGATTGCTGAAACACCAATCCACATAGTTAGCGATTCAATACAGGGCACCATTGGTTGGACACCAGTAATATGGACATCTTAGGTTGTCTCCAGCTAAATCCTGCTTAGAGCAGACCAGCTGAAACTTGTGTGCAAATTAACATTGACTTCAATGGGTTTATTCTGAGTAGGACTAAAAGTGGGGCTAACAGGGGTCCCATTCAGTAAAGAGCTCAGCATCCTTATTCAACAAGTTGGTTTATAGGACCCTAATAGCTTTGTCTTTCCCTGGTTTGGGGGTAACCACTATCCTGGATCTGTGCCAAGGGACAGGCACTGCCCCCCCCCACTGAATGCTCCCGTAGGTGCCCCATTGTGAAATGTTTTCTGGACCCTAACCACCCCCTCCCCAATTTCATTTGTTAAAATCACAATAAAACAGCCACATCTACTTTTTAAAAAACATTTTGACATGCTCCCCCTGGAGGGTAAGCTAAGGGCCAATGAGACTGTCAGCCTGAAGAAGGTTAGCTACCTTTGCTCTGGAAGGTAGTGAGGATTGGGTCCAGTGGGAGAGCCACTGAGTAGTATCCATAGCCGTGAGCAGGAGGTGGATACTTTGAAAGCACATTCTGCACCAAGAGATCTCCAGAACCTGGATCTGCCATTGGCAATGAGAAGAGAATAGGGAATCCCACACCTTCCACCAAACCTTGCAAAGTTAGCTGCTCGCTGCCCATCCTAGGACCCAGGAGACCTGGGTTCAAATCCCCGTTCAGCCTCGAAACTTCTTTAGCGGCAGATGAACCCCTCGGAAACAAATAGGTTAAATAATCTTTATTTTGAGTTGTGTCAGTTAGTTTTACAAATAGATTTTAAATTATTTGCAATATATATTTATATATATATTTATGTATATATAAGAAATATTACAAACAAACCGACAAAAACAACAAAAAACAACAACCCTTGACAAAAAAACTCCCCCCCCTTTAGCCCTGTATAATAAGGGCCAGAAATTAAAATATGTTCTCTTTTTTTAAATAAAAAAAGGTGTCTTGATAAATTCTTCCCTTGTTTTCTTCCTCGATAAAATGTACATCCATTGTAATAAATGATTGTGTGTGTGTGTGTGTGTGTGTGTGTGTGTGTGTGTTTAAAGCAAGAACTTTAAAAAGGTGGGCTTTTTCTGTTTAACTCTGAACAGAGTTAATGTCCTCTAATTTTGTTTAAAACATTTTTTTAAAAAAGTATTTTGCATGGCAGTGCAAAAACATACAGGCAAACAAACAAACAAAGGGGGTGGAAAGCAATAGGAAGCGGTCATTCCACAGGTGCTATGTACAGCTGACATTTGAAGCATCACAAAATTTTTATTTTTAGCTGACATTTCTGGGGAAAATAACTACTCTCCCCCTGCCCCCCCCCCGTTATTATGCAGCTAAGCAAAGGCAATGAGAAACATTTCTTGCCTGTTCTACGATTAGCTGCCTGGACCCCTTTTCCTACATGAGTAGTTAAAACGGGAAAGAAAGAGAAATACTTGGACTTCCCTGAGGGTTCACACTTTTGCTTGTCCTGTTCTGAAAAAGCACGGGCTTGAGCCGTTTCCTGCTTGTCCCGTGGCTTTCAGGGGTAAGCGGCAGCTTTTCCCAAGGGGTTGTGAAGTCCTCACCACTGAGAACAGCATCGGAAGTTGCTTTATACTGAGCCAGACCACTGGCGCACTTCGCTCAGTGGTCCATGCTGACCAGCCAGAGTCTCAGACAAGGTGTCCTCCCTCCAGACTTCATTGGAGATGCTTGGGATTGAACCTGGGACTTCTGCATGCCAGGCAGATGCTCTGCCACTGAGCTACGGCCCTTCCCTGAAGACGCAGGATCATAATAAGCTGCTTTATACTGAGTCAAACCACCGGTCCACCCATTGCCTACTGCTGATTTGCAGTGGTCCTCCAGCGTTTCAGAAGGTCTCTGGTCTTGCCCCAGCCCTAACCACAGATGCTGGGGATTGACCCTGGAGCCTTCCTGCATGCAAAGCCACTGAGCTACAGCTCCTATAGCATCAAAAGTTCCACGACAGGGATGCTGGAGCCATCAGGACTTCACAACCTCCAACACAGAAAGAGACCTTACCTGCACCTACCGGACTAATGTGCAGATAGGAGTTCACTGAACTACTGGCTTTCGAACTTCACAGATGCTTCAAGAGGCTCAAAAAAACTTATCTCTAAAAATAAATGCATGCTGTTTAGAAAACAAATTGAATGCAAACTTTCCATGCTGTGTGTATATTATCAGAGGTTAACGTGAGACAGGCTTGTGAGTGGACACATGCAGAAGCGAGAGAGGCTGGAAGTTAGGTGGAGTCGCCCATCTCTACTCCAGAGGAGGCTGACGCATTCGGGCAATTGGGCACTGAACCACTAACCTCTGTCTGCACTCAGGCAGAACCTGTCTTTCTGCCTTCCTACTTACAGACAGCCCTGGGGATCTGCACCACCTGCCAGGCCAATGGGAGGTAGGGTCAGAGCCAATGACAAGCTAAGCCAACTCATACTATTTTTGCTCCCCTCCTCCTTCTTCCTGCGGAGATCTACCAGGGGCATCACTGAAGAGGAGGAAGCTGACAGCTGGACCGGGTGGAAGTAAGAAGGCAATGCAGGTGAGAGCTGGCTGAGAGGCAGACTGAGGTTGACGAGGCAGTGCCCCATTTGCCCCAATGGGCCAGCCTCCATTGGAGAAGAGGCAGAAGATTCCCACAGGCAAGCAGTGCAGGGAACAGGAAGCAAGGAAGGCCAAAATGGCTGGGGAATATGTCCCAAAGGCTGGAGACAGGCCATTGCAGTCACATACACCCCGCCCCCAAAAGTGTTAAAGGTAACATGCTAAAAACATGGCCGCCCAGGGTGAGTACATTTCCCCCAGCTCTGCCCCAGAAAAACAATCAATCAATCAATTAAGCAGGTCTTTCACACCACTCTCAGCTATACAGAAAAACAAGGGCAGAACAAGCGCCGGAGCTTTTGCATGTTCCAAATGCTGCTTTGGCTTCCGCAACTGAAATCAGGCTGTAGCACAATGGTGGGGAACTGCAGGCATTTCTATCTGGACCTTAGGATTTGCCCCAGGCCACACAGCCTTTACTCAGACCACATCCCTCACTTTGCTCTGCTTTGCGACCCAAATACTTTTGCCTGGCTGGAATGTGCCCTTTAACTTATGTTTCTTGCTTGGATGGAGAGACTGAGGTTAGTGTGTGTGTGTGTGTGTGTGTGTGTGTGTGTGTGTAGAAACTAGCTCCACCCACTTTTGCCTTTTGCCCCACCCACCACAAGAACGTGGCCCTCAAAAGGTTGCCCAGAAGGGAATGTGGCCCTTGGGTTGAATAGAGTTCCCCCAACCCTGTTGTAGTAGCTTCAGTGGGAAGATTAAGGCAGCAACTGGCATCAGCTTTAAGTCCAACGCATATTGAAGACTCGCCTTACGAAGAAAAGAAAAAGGGGGAACTCAGACAGGAAGAGAGAATGGTCATGCAGGTCCACAGACATGTTTCCCAGGGAAGATGGGGGGGGGACATCTTTGCAGGATCTATTCCCTTCCCCCAGGAACATTCTGGTTGCCCATTGCCCATATTGCATGCTACAAATTTGCATTATTAGTATTAGTATTAGTATAATTTTCCACACACATAAATTGTCCTTTGGAGGCTGGGAGCGGGAGGGGGAGAAGTGCTATCCTTGGACGAGGGCTCTTTGCGTCCTGTGCGTTTTATTAAAAATATATATATGTGTGTGTATGGTTTGTTTGTTTGTTTGTTTTGTTGGTTTTGCTCTTACAGGAATGTAAACATCAAGCTTGTTCAGCCCTTCCCAGCGTTAGAGTTTGAAAATAAAGACGACTTCGGTGTCACGGTTCAAGTCAGCTTGGTTCTTGAGTGGGGATGTAAACAGGCCAGCGGAGGCCGTGTCCATACAGGCCCCTTTGGTGAAGCAGCAGGCCCCTTCGGGGTTCCCTCGCTCCTCAATGGGGCTCCCCTTGTTCAGCGCCAGGCTCTTCAGCCTCTGCCTCTCCTGTGCCTGCTTGGCCCGGTTGGCGATATACCTCACTCTGCTCTGGCTCCTGGATGAAGACCTCCGGAGAAGGCCCACCCCTTCCTCTTCCTCCTCGGACTCAATTGGCTCAAGGCTGGTAGGGGAAGTGATGTCGTTCTCCTGCTGGAAGGTGGTTAGCTTCTTCAGGCGCTCCGTGAGAGGGTCCAGGGGCTTTGCCGAGGACCTGGCTGCCGCACAGTGCCGCTGCTCCCTCATCGACCGGGTGATGAAGCTCCGGCTGATGCTGCGGTACTTGCCCTCGAAGACGGACGTGATGTCATCCGAGGTCAGGTCACCAAGGCTTTTCGATTTGGCCTGGTCGTTCTCCTGGCCTTTCGGCTTCAGGCAGGACTGCTTGAGGCTCTCCATATACAACCGGCTCCAGGTGTGCCTTCTGGGTAGGGATGGCAACCCTAGCTCGAGACCCTTGGCCAGTGGTCTAGGGCGCAGCTCATCCTCTGTGGGTTGGCCTGACCTCAAGTTGGGATTGGATTTGCTCTTGGTCACCATGGGCATTTCACGCCCGGAAGCGGCACTCGCGGACCACGGGCGTGCACCTCTCCTCTCGGGGATGACTTTGAAGTTCTCGTGCTGGATTCCAAGGTCTGGGAGGCTTTTGCGGGTGAGGTTGGGCATAGAGAGGTCTATGACCGTATCATTGGAGGACATGCTAGAAGAGGAAGACATGCTGTCCCTGTGACTGCTGGAGTCCAGCTTGCTCCAGATACGGTCATTCACTGTGGCATCAGAGTACACTGCAGCTGCTGGTGAGAAGCCACCAGGAGACCTCATTGGAACTGAGCAGTCACAAAGGTTCTGCCCTTCGCTTTTCGACCTCCTCACTATCACACGAGATGCGTGGGGGACTGCGGCACCTTGAGTTACTTGGGGAGAATCTTGAGGTGAAGCTAGCGTGGTGCTCTCCACGTTGCATTGTTGCGGCTGCCTAGCTGCATTGCTGGCCTTCTCGTCCACTCTCTCAACATCCATCAGTTCTTCAGCCATGCCATCTCTTGTCTTCTGGCAACTATGGGTAGAATGAGGCCCAAGGTTGGCCAATGCTTCATCATCCTGAGTTTGTGAACCAGCTTGACCTCCATCGCCTCCTTGTTTCTCGTTTCTCCTAACATTTTTTGGTCCCAGAATACTTGTGATGGTTGGGCTGGGAGCAAGGAACCTTCTGTCCTCTGAAACCACCACCGTGCGCTGCAGAAGAGGAACTCTCTGAAGCTGATCTGACGGGTCATGGGAATTATCAGGCACAGACCCTTCATTGGGATCGCTAGCAGGAACAGTGGGCAGAGAAAGGCAAAAAGGAGCAGGCTGGTCCTCGTTGGCAACAAAGGGCTCTTCATTGATGGTCTCCAGGCTACATAATGAAGTGACTGACCTCTGCATTGAGAATTGGCGGACATCTGTAGGAAGAAGGAAAGCAGTGAATGAGATTGATCCATTACCGAATGAATTCTTTTGCAGCTACAACTCTAATGCATCAGACACAATACATATAAGGTTGTATCCAACTAAATTATACCTCAAGTAGACCCATGGAAATTAAGGAACCTAAGTTAGTCGTGTCCATTAACTTCAATAGGTTGGGCTAGCATTGGATTCAACCCATAATCCACAGAGAATAGATTCAAAACAGCTTGTTCATTGGAAGAATATCAGGTCATTCTGGATGATACTTGCCTCTCCCTCATTCCAAACTGTCTCAGAGAATGGAGGGTAGTAAAAGCTGTGACTCCTCCCTACTCTGCCTGGGGCACATGCCTATTAGGGATGGGGGATAATTTCTGTTCATTTTGCATTTAAAGGCAAACTTACATAATTCATACTTTCTGACAAAATACACAAACTGAACCCAGCCCTCCACTCCAAATTTTGTGGTGCAGTTTTCCAGGCAAGTAATGTGATAAGGGAAATTGCTTTGCGAAATTGAGTGCATTAGGAAAAAAGGAAGGTGTCTCCCTCCTCTTGCAGCGTAGTGCCCTACCAGAGTAGGTAGGCGGTGCATCTCTGTTTGCACATTGCATACAGAGACATAACACTCCTACCACCTCTTGCTTGACCTGGTAAGCGTGCATGCTATAGGAAAGCACAAGAGGGTAGGATTTCCCCTATCTCATTCCTTTATCGTCCTGTGTGGGTTTGGTCTGCTCTGACTTCCAGTGCTCCGGAATTTTGAACAAGGATGACTTCTAAAATTAGTGCAGGAATTTGAGCACACACAGCTTGCCATAGCTTGCAACTCCTTTAGTTCTCGATGCACTTGTGCGCACCAAATTAAAAACAACAACACTACAGGAAGGTAATTTTTGATGCATGATTGTATCAAGATTCTTTCTGTGCTGTGTTTTACTGACACGTGCATGAACTCCGACACATTGGCAAAACTCCCCACAAAAAATAATTACTGATGCAATTGTGTTTACGATTACATCAAATTGTCTTCTTGCAGTGTTTTACCAATGCACATATTGGGGATACTGGGGAGAAGAGGGTGGGAGAGGGCAAGGGAAACCATGAATGAACTGAAGGTTGTGGCAAACTTTTCATCTGCAGTGCTCTGCACTCCAAATCTGAAAAAATAATTAATAATAATAATAATAATAATGTGGAATTGAGGGTTCCTAATGAACTGTGGAAGCTTGTAGGCTTGGAGGAGGCATCTGGTTGGCCACTCTGAGAACAGAATGCTGAACTAGATAGGCCATTGGCCTGATGCAGCCGGGATCTTCTGATGTTCTTAAGCAAAGGCATGGAATTCAGAATTCCAAAATCCAGGCTAATAACATTAGGATGAAGAGAATGCTGGAGGGATCACTTCCCAAGTGCAAGGCACGGGTGACCAAGTTTCCTTCCGTATGTGTAATTCCTTACAGGTTAAGGTGGCGATTCCATAACTCTGGTTGCCAAAACTCCACATTGGCTATCAAAGGTTGCTTCCACCACCCTCCAAGAAATCTCACATCAGCTGAAGACACACACACACTCGCACATGCTTTGGGGAAACAGTGATAAGGGTGGCATCCAAACCAACACATCTCGGCAGTGCAAGGAATTAAGTTTGCCCAATGGAACTTTCTCTCTTCTCCTGCCCTGTACACCCACTAAATGTAGAGTAGGTTTTTTTGCGGGGGCGGGGTGGGTGGGTACAGGGTGCGTGTGAGCAGAGGAGAAAGGTGAAGTTCCTTTGTGCAAGGGTAACATTCCTTGTGTTGACAGGATGTGTCAGTTGGATACCGCCCAGTGCCAGTAATATATTTCTTATGTAATCAGAATAACATAGGATTAAAAAGGGGGGGTGAGAAAGGGCGAGCGGCTGAATCAAATCCATGCATGGCATTTTTTCAAGAAATCATGCAGAAGTTGGAAAAGGGAAGCACAGAAACATAATGGAAGGAGGGGGAAATCAAGCAATACTGCACTTAAACCAGCGATGCTCAACAGTTACCTGTAATTTGCTCATCCTTTCAGTTCTTAACTACAGAGACAAGAGATTGCATGTGGAATAATAGGACAGAACACAGGAGAGAAAAAACCACAGTTAGTTCAGGAAAGGGTGAACACAGGAGAAGGAATAAATTAGTAGGGAGAAGTAAGGGGGAATAAAATCCATCTGGATAAGCTTCTGGTAGGATCCTGAGAATTCTTTTTTTTGACCAACCAGAGGTGTCCAGGCCAAATCGTTAATCAAGGGCAGTAAAACATTTGCCCACCATTCTAAAAACAAGAATAAGAAGGGTGGATGATTTTAAGTTGTAAGGAAGAGAGATCCCAACAGAAGGATGAGTCTGGGAATGTTGGGCGTCAAACCCATAACAAAATAACTCAATTGCCCAGCCACTTGGGGCTACAAGAGGTGGCCCATTTTTTGCAGCAAAATCCACACCTGGCTCCCAAAATCCACTGCTGTGTCAGGCCAACAGGCTAGGCCATAGGAATCCACAAGCTGATGATCCCCGATTTACGGTGCAATGTTGTGCCTTCTCTACTCAGAAGCAGGACCCATTGAGTTCAATGGAACTTAATCCCAGCTAACTGCAGCCAAAGGCTATACACACTGGCACTGGAGCAGCTGGTCCCACTGAACTTAATGGGACTTACTTCTCTATGTAGATACATATAGGATTACTCTACGTGCCGATTTGTGCTGCGACACCTGCAAAAGTATCACATTGAAACAAAACAAAACAAAATTAATCAAATGAAACCTAAAATAAATTAGACTCCCAACCAAAGGGGATATTCATACCCATATTCAGCATTTATACCAGGATCCTAGCATGTAATTGCTGGCAATACTGATAGAGAATTAGTTCCCTTGTTCCTTATTATCCTCTGGTTGGACTGGAAAACAAATCTCAGAATCATACTTATGCATTACATGATTAAAACAAAGAGACAGAGATGCGCAGACAAACCACAAAAATCTACAGAAGGATTTGCTACACCGGCAATGATTTTGCACGTCACAAAAACCAATGCGCATCTAAATCTGAGCACATCTAGAAAGAACTGATGGCTGTGTGTGTGTGTGTGTGTGTGTGTGTGTACTTACTCCCCTTGCCCACACTAAACGGAGAGCTACCACAGCAAAATTAAAACAAAGCGCAGGGACTTCTAAGGGGAAACTGAAATGACGACACCATCTAAAGCGGATGGGTGGGGTGAAGAAGATCTGGTCTTACCAGTAAAGAATATAGGGGATTTACTTCGAATTTCCTCCAGTTTCTCAGCAAACAAGGCATTCATTTCCCTCTGAAGGGTGCCCGCCTGTTTTCTGGAGGTCTCGGACAAACGTTTGGGGAAGTCGGGGCTTCCGAGGCTCTCTAAGCTGCTGGAGCTGGAGGACATGGAGCCATTGCTGGTGGTGACCAGGTTGACCGTGCTTCCATATTTGCCACCGGGCTGGGCCTGCCACCTCTGCCGGGAATGGCCTTTCGACCCGTGACATTTGGAGTCCCCGTTTTTCTTCCCTGAGGTCGCAAAGGGCTGGCAGGTCCTGGGCAGGTTATCGGCGCCAGCCCTGCACAGGCGCAGGTCTGGCTGCTGCGGCCTGGGCTGCTGCTCCTGGACCCCCCAGCTTTTAAGCTCTAGCCTCTCCTCGCCTCCTGCCAGGCTGCCGTACTCATTACAGTGAGAAGCGTCATTGGGGGCGGGCCGAGCGTCGCCGTGGTCGCCCCACTTGCACTCTAAATCGGGGCTCTCGTTCAGGCCTATCATGCACTTCATGCAGTTGGTGGCCACGCCGATCCTACCCGATCCATTGATGGCGCAGCGGGCAAAGACGCCCTGCTTCTCGCTAGGAGGCTCCTGCAGGCGGACCCGGTTGGACCTCCGGACCGGCTCGCTGAAGGTCGCGTCCCTTTGCGCGCGGCTTTCGCCCTTGCCGAAACTCTGAGCCTTACCTTTCAACCCTTTGCCTTGAGCCTCCCTGTGGACACCGTCTCCGAGAGAGGGTGCCGGGGACCCGCATTCGGGCTCTTGGTCGAAACGAGGGAGGGAGGAGTCGTCCTCCAGTTCGCGGTCCTCGCCGTCCCCTTGGGAGCCGCCGTGGTCTTTGGTGTCGATTGCAATCTCGGGGAAGCCCTTTTTGGTTTTCTTCTGGGTCTTGGTGGGCGCGCTGGCAGTCCGCCGTAAAATGTGGCTGCTAAAGGAGTGTTTGCGGTTGAGTTGGCCAGCAGCATGACTGTCTAGAGAGGCCTGCTTTGGATTTCTGAGAAACAGGCCTTTTAAGCCCAGAGCTTGCTTGGCCTGGAAAAGAGAATAAGAGGGAGAGAAGAAAAAAACACCCGTAACAGAAGATGTGCATTTCTCTCCCCCAGTGCGCAAAGAAACAAAAGGTTAGTGATGTGCAACGTGGTGTTATTAACCTCATGGGTAGCATCACCTATCCAGGTTGGGCTGGAAGACAGAATGAGGAGGAAGGTGTGCGTTGCAAGTTTTTGGTTTCACACTTCTGTCGTCCTGCTAGTCCCCCTCCCCAATCGACCCACCAGCCACTTCATTCTGGTTCACTAATGACACTTGCGTGTTTACTCATACAGCTTACATGCATGCTCACTGAGAAATGAAGCCCTGTTGGCGTCAGTGTTGCTTAATTCCAAGTACCTTTGGACTGGGCAACTTATTGAGGGGGGACAGGGAGTGGTGGCCCACCCACCGTTTTCCAAAGGGATCTTCTGCCTTAGCCATAGCTATCATTCCCACGAACCACTTATTTTGCCTCCTGGAGGGGAGGTCCTGACCCCTGGGCTTCCTGCAGTCATCTTGTCCGTGTGCTTATCCTTACATCTTTTAATTACCAGGGTTTGCCTTCTCCAAAAATGGTTTCCTTGAAATGGCACTGCAAGCTGCCATTTTGTTCAGAGGTAGCTGAAAAGGGCTAAGCCTGCCATTCTATGCACGCTTACCTGGGAGTAAGCCCCCCTGAACTCAATGAGGATTACTTCTGAGCAGACATGCATAGGATCGCACGGGGGGGGGGTTTCCCTCTCCAGTGGATTGGTAAGGAAGAGAATGAAGCATGTAATTAACTCTCATATGATGAAAGTCTTTTTAGACACACCACACAACCTTTAGGCACTGGTGATGCCTGGCTATTGCTGGGCATGTTCATAAGTTAGTGTATACACAGTAAACAAGCAAAGTCGTCATTTATACAGTCTAGTGCCCTTTACCCCTGAATGGCAAGGAATTCGTGGAGGTGAGCTCCCCATCTGTTCCACCCCGTTCAAGATTTAGAATTTGGTAACACTGAAGGTGGGCATGTCATAACTTTTCAGACACTTGATGCTGATTTGAGAAAGCCAAGGTTGCCGCATGGTTCAGGTATTAATTTTCCATCTCTTCTCCACTCGTCCTACGGTGGTCTCCTGTCAATTGGTACGTTACTGAATATTTGGTCGCTTCAGAAATCTACAGCACCTTCCTGACCAGGAGTCAAAGTGAAGCAGCAGGCAAAACATTATAATACGTGCAACGTGAGCAACTGTGGCAATACCCAACTGCCTCCAAGTGTCTAAAAGAAACACCTCCTACCTTCTGAACACAGTGTTCAACACTGCTACAGTCATTCCATGGACACTTGCCAATTTGCTGGTGAATGGCAGTTTCACTCGAAGCTTTCCACACACACCAAAAAAAGGAGTCTGCTTCAAGTGTAGGATGTTGAGCGACTGCTTGGAACAGAACGGAGCTAATTCTAAGCTACTACGGCTTCACTGTTGAGTAGGGATAGGTGAATTTGTCAATTTCATCTTCTCTCAAATTTAATGTTTTCCAGTGTTAAGTTTGGTCCTCCACATTTCTACATCAGTTGGCCTTTTTCTAAAAGTTCGCGTGAAAATTCTACAGCACTTGAGTGTGAATTTCACCTAATATGCACATTTGCATGCAATACTGCCTAATTTACACATATTGGCAAAAACCAGTTGGCAAATGTCATTTTCAGTCATATTTGCATATTTGCCCTGGTACATATACCCTGCTTGGCTGGAGATCTGCACTGCAAAAATCTGAAGCAAGACGAATTTTGAAGGATGGTAGTTTTTGTTTCTGATATTGTTTAGGAAAGTGTAGATTAGGAAGGTTTGACTTTAAATGAGAACTGAGTCAAATTTCTCCCCCATTGCTGCTGTTGGAAGATGGGTATTTTTGGAGGAAGGTGGGAATAATTAATTCCTTGAGACTTTACATTGATTAGTTATCTATGTGACTGTAGTTGGGCTTGAAGGGAAATGGCAAATAGAATTAAAGGGTTGATCAAACTAAGCTCTACTTAAAGTAGACCCACTGAAATCCATGGACCTATGATAGTCATGTGCATTCATTTTAATGGGGATACTCTGAGTAGGGCTAACATTGAATGCAACCTATAGAACTCAAAAGACAGGTCTGTTACACCAACATTTTCTCACTGGGGCTTTTTGCTACCTATCCTTTATTCTCCTGATCTGTAGGGATTCAACAGAACAGAAGCTACCAAATTTCAGACCGAAAAGTTAGCTGCTAACGGAGCAGCCCAAAGAAGCAAAAATTCAAAATACTGAGTCAAATTGGCAAGTGCATAGAATGACCATCCAAACAGTAATCATACTTTGCAAATAATTTTAAACCCCTTGGGGCACAAACTTCAAGGGAAGGTGGGGAAATCTCTGTACACATATACATAAATAATGTGAAGTCTCCCACCCACCCCACAAAGAAAGAAAAGTATCCCATTGATGTAATGAGGTGAAGTGTGCAGTGACGGCTCCCCCAGTTCAATCCATCTAGACCATTTGATGCATCCCAGTGAGGCTAGCTAGTGACGCTTGAATCAAAACAAGCGATTCAAGGCCCCAAATCCAGTGCAAATTTGGTTGGAAGAAAAGAAAAGTCATTTAAGAAGAAGATCCAGCATATTTGGAAAAAAAGTAACAGTGGGGGAACTGGGTTCTCCAAACACAGAGGGAAAGAAACAGCAACAGTTTCCCGCTTATATCTGAAGGGGGATTTCCTCAAAAGATAGGAGTTATCTGGGTGGGGGAGGTAGAATTTGCTCAACCGGAACTTCATTCCCCCCTTTGAAATTAGTAGATGGTGTCTAGTCCACGAATGAGGATAAGTGATGGAAGAGGGTAAGTGATGGACAGAAGGAGGGCAATGGAGGGGGTTTTTCCCCTATAAAGGATATGTTTTATCCTGGATCTGCTTCATAAATGTAGAGCACTCTGGCTGTTCAATGGCCCGGCAAACGTTCCAGGAAATGTTGCAATCCATGTAATGAGTGGAAGATTTAATTTATTTATTTTCAGGAAGTGGAAGAAATAATAAAAAAGAGAGCTAAATAAGGGGGGAAGGGAGAAGAAAACCACCAAATGTTAATGATGTTATCGGTTAGAGAAGCATGCAGAACGTGTCGCTAGGAGCGCACTACACCTTCCTGTGTTGGGAGGAGGAGGGGGGTACCTTCAAGGCGTCTAAATTTGCTCTGCTTCTAAAAGGAGACTTTTTTTGACACAGAGAAGTCCACTGAAATCACAAACAGACAGAAGTAAAAGGCAGAAAGTGAGACACCGAACAAGCTGAGGAGGCTACGCAAAGAGATAAAGGCAACATCAGGAGGGTGGTGGCAGTGGAAGGGGACTGGAGAGAAGCCACATATGAGAAATTTGACGAGCAACACAGATAAGCTACGAGAGAGAGAGAGAGAGAGAGAGAGAGAGAGAGAGAGAGAAGCAATAGGAGGTAGTCATTTGGAGGTGAACATATGCAAAGCTTAAAAGGCAGAGTAGGAGGGCCCTGTGATTCCCTTGGAGTACAGAAAGTTATAATGGTGGACCAAGGAGCAGTCAGCTTTCTGAGGACCACAGGGTTGTCTCCCATTGAGTTCTACTCAGAGCAAACCCACCGAAATTAATGGACACAAGTAAGCCGTGCCCATTAATTTGAATGGGCCTACTCTGAGTAAGACAGACTTTGGATGCAACCCATAGCTTTCCCTATTTTTTAAAAGCACATTTTAAAAAAAGCGAATTACAACTAGGGATGGATGGAGCCATCAAAGTTCGGCTACTCGCAGTTATGCACAGGGGCAGGACCGCGTCCGTCCTGTTTCTGTGTGGATTTTCAAGAGGAAGACCTTAAAAGTCTGCACAGAAACAGCAAGGTAAATAAAAAATAATAATAGAAGTACTTACGAGATGGGCTGGGGGCTGCTGTACTGCCTCTGTTCTTCTAAAAGAGATTTCTGGCCTTTAAACTCTCAGGGAGAACTGTTCACACACACAAAATACCCCGGGCTGCCTACACATCGAGTTCTGCTCCCCTCAGCAGGCATTTGCTCTCTTTCATTTGAAGCATGTGCCCAGAAGCAGCTCCGACTATGGCCTGTGTGTGCCTGGATTAACCATCTTTATCATGTTAAAGGGCAGAAATCTCCTTGGACCGCCCCGCAAAGGAGTCTGCAAGACTGTGGGTTCTGAAGTGGACCCACAATTCAGCTGTGTGCAATATATATTAAATGAATATATTTATGCACCATGAACTGGTTGGATTTAGTATGTGCTATTTTGTATATTCTTATATCTTCCATAAAGTATAACTGCATTAGGCTGGAGGAACAGCCTCGCAACTGGCGAGGATCACACAAATTCGAAGAGGATCTGGACCTGCTGCTACGTCACATGGAGGATTCTGGGAGCAGGCTCACTAGCTGTAGGAACTGCAAATGCCCTCTGGCACAATCAAGCCAGAACAGCCCAGGTTGTGCCCTGGAGCTACTTCACAAAGAGGGCAGGGCCTTATGCAACACTGGACCCAGCTAGCTCAAACCATACATATTCTGCTTCCCATGACCAAGCCGAACCTAGTGGCAAAAATGAGATTGCACCCCAGAGATTGCCCGAGATGGCTACAGAGTTGGGAAGCAGGCCATGCAAACCCCAGCTGGGTTGAGAGAGCCCACGGCAAAGTTCCCACCTATAGTGTGTTTCCCCTATTAGCAGGCACCTCTTCCACTGGATAGCCATTAAAAAAAATGAGAGAGAAATGGTGACCACCATGGCTTTTGGTGGTAGCCATCTTCCCCTTTGTGTGTCCCCCTCTCCCAAGTATACACAATGCTCCAGAATGATTCAACTTACAGGGCCATTCAGGAACCAGTCCAAAATGGCACCCGAGAGTCACTGAGTGCCAGAGGAAAACAGGTAATGCTTTTTTGTCTTCTTCTTCAAAAAAAGGAGTTGAGGGTTAAGTGTCAGAGGTGGGCT